GTTAGTCACTGGTTCTATATCTTGATCAATTTCCAAAATATTTGCACCAATATTACCCAAATGCGGCAAAAGAGTTGCTGCTTTTTCTTTATAACAAATGTCGCTTGTAATTTCGTTCAGGAAATCTCGTATTCCGTAAAGAGGTTTGAGGTCGGAAACTTCTACTTGAATAACAGTATTGCTCACAGCACATTGCGTTGATTTTGCGTTGTTGTGATTAAGAGCATTTAAACATGGCTTTGGAGGTCAACAAAACGAATGTCCACTAGTTAAAGCATGCACATTATATAAAATTTCAAGACAACTTGAACATTCCATTTTATTGATTCACAGATTAATTTCGTAAGTTGTGAAGTCGAATCCAGCCAAATCACGCTCTGAAACACAAACAATGATGCGTAATTTGGGAAGCAATCAAAATTTTTGTTGCAGTGATTAAGTTTTACTTTTAATGAATAAATTCGATAATCGAGGGTTTTTCAAAAATGGATTACAAATTGAATTCGAACAAGATGGCTTGTGTCAAAGCGAAGTTCTGAATCTTCGGACTGCCCTGTAATGTTTATGAAAAAAATTTGCTTTCCAAAAACTTAACGCAATTTTCCTAATTAAAATATGATCATTTTTTAACAAAACTTTTGCCCTCACACGACATGTTATGTGAAGAACAAAGAGTGTTGCATTAAGCCTCTAGTAACGTATTAGTCAGAGCAAACAAGACTACTCGTATCAGGGCAAAGCCCTGAATATTCCGACTGTCCCTTAACTCATCTCGAATAATTTTTGGTAAAAGAAAATATTAAAAATCTACAAATTTTGGACAATATCAAAGTGAAAAATCTTGAATTGTACGAAATTAATACGACCGATCCAATTAACTAGCCTCAATTCAATTTGAAACGATTTTGTTGATTGGGATAATTCACCACGCATAAATAATTGGCGTTGCGCTCTCAACAATAAAAATAACTTCTTCAAAGCGCGCAGAATTTAGTCCAGAACATGGCCAATTTGACAATTTTCAAACATCCAGAACTTTACAAAAAAATAATCGGAGGTGAAGTTTCATTTTTTCTTTGAACTCAGAAAGTTGATGTGTTCAAAAGGGAATAAAAATTTTTTGCTGAAAATTGTTATTCCGACCGGTGAAATGACTGAATAATAAAAAACCACACCGAGCATAAATATTCCGTTATCTTCGAAAATCGGAACAACTTATATCGGAACTTATCACAATTCAGTTTAGCACGAGGTAACAGCTGTATTAAATTGCCACTTACACGTTAATAGCACAATATGTATCTGGCGCCAATTGTCGTAAATTGACTAAATTGGCAACTTAATTTTGATACATTTATGAACAATCACAGGTCAAATATTTTTCAAAGTTTGATCGAATAAACGTAAATAACTTTCAGATAAAAAAACTGTTCAACGACTTGAAATTGAGCGGTAGTAGCGTTTACGACAACAAGCATAAATATTCCTCACTTTCTTCGAAAGTCGGAACAATAAAGGAAACTTATTCAAAATGAGAGTGCTTGTATCACGGCATATCCCTGAATGATTCATCTTTAGACAACTAACAAAACCTATCACAGATTACTCTAAAACGTTTCAAGTTACCAACTGTAGCTTATTATGTACTTTTTTGGACCAAATGAACAATCTCTCCCTAAATCAAATCAGGGAGGAGATAGTTCACTTGGTTAAAAGTAATTCATATCAGCCAATCAGATTTGAGCATAGTACATGCAGGCCTTACTGCTTTAATTCGCCATTAAATTTTAGGAGAGATTGTTCACTTGGTCTATTGAGGGGGGAGATTGTTCACAAGGGCCATTTTTTCCCATCAATGAAAAAAATTTAATTTCTTAAGCTTTTATTGTTAAAAACCCGCAAACAGTGTCAAATATACAAGGTGATACAAGACCGCTCTTAACAGGGAAAAACTTGTTAGGGTCTATGCAGTACTGCTTTTTAACTTCTATGAATATCATTTTTTGTAACGCAAACGCTGAGTTTTCGATTTGCTTTTTTTCAAAACTATCCCCCACACGCGTTGTAAAGTAAGTGCCAACTAAAATATTTTGCATATAGCAAAGTATTCGATAGAGTTAAGTGTATGCCTCATTTCAATTTGAAATTATTTTTAAGATGACTATTTCTTCGCTTACGCATTAATAGCATGAAGTTTATCGCGTGTTAAAAAATCCTACACTAGCCAAATTGCAATCTGTAAACATCCATAAATTACGAAAAATAATCGAAGATGTAAACTTTTTCTAAGTTTGAGCCCAGGACTTCAGTATGGAATAAAACTGTAGCTGATAAAACAAATTCGGTCAAATTTCAATTCTCTCAAGTTAACTGAAATAGATGAGTTTTTTTCAAGGTGGAATGATTTTATAGAAAATTTCTAAATAGAGCGTATTACCATCCCAAACTGGCAAGATTTTTATGTTAACTTGAAAACATTATCCAAAAAATTGTCTGTTTTTGAGCTCAAGGAAAAATTATCTGTTTTTGAGCTCAAGACATCAATAATAGTCAGGCGTACAATTAATTTAGTCGAATTAATCTTACTTCTTGCGGAAAAACAATCGTAGGTATCAATGCCCAATATTTACATTGAACATCGGAACATTAAATATAACAAATAACCATTTATTTAAATAAATCTAGGCTTTAGATTTCAATGTAACGTTAAAACTGAATCTGTAATTAGTAGCGAAAAGTTTGGACTGACAGAATTAATTAAAATGAGCAATCAGTGCTTTTTGACGTTTTTTTTGCATGCAAAATCTGAAGCCGAGCAGCCTTGAATTTTTTGTCGGGCCAAATTCAAGATGCGAGATTTTCGGATATCCGAAGATTATGCTAGCCTAATTTTTAAATACTGCATTGAACATCCAGATTTTTCTATAAAACAGTTAGCAAAGTTAGTTAAAAAACGAAACACAGAAAAAAAACAGATTAGGCCGCACCAAAAAAAAACAAACGGCAGTGAAGATGATCAAATCATTTAAAATTTGGAAACTAATCGCGGAAAAACGATTGCCACCCTGAGCAGTAATTTTCCTGTTTCAAGGTTTACTATTCGACGCTTCGGATGCAATTGCCCGCCGTGGTTATAATTTTCGAGCAAAATTCTGCTTTATGAATTTTCGACGTTATGTTTATTTCAGTTTTAATTTCCGTTGATGTCTAGACAGTTGCTCTTTTTAATTAAGTCTGTCTGTCCGAACTTTTTGCAACTCTCTATAACTTTTTCAAATTGCTGCTATAATTAGTAGCAAAAAGTTCGGACAGACAAAAATAATTAAAAAGAGCAAATGACCTTTTTCAGACAATTTTTACATGCAAAAGCTAATTTTTCAGACAGAAAGTATGTCTCAATGTCACCTGAAAATTCAAATATGCATGCAAAAATTGCTCAAAATTTGCAGATTGCTCTTTTTAATTATTTCTGTCTGTCCGAACTTTTTGCAACTCTCTATAATAGAGGCAATAAACAAAAGAGCATTCAACTTAATTTTAACCTAAGATGGATCTGTCATTTAATTTTTTCGAGCACTAACAAACATGAAGGGAGATGCAAAAAGTTTGAACAGACAGAACTAGAAAAAAAGAACAGCATTACCAATAGTTTAACAAGGTTTGACATAAAATTTATCGTTGATACCAATTTGTTTGCAATATCTTTTCGGTTTACGAATCTGAACGAAGTTAAATAACCTGAAACTGCTCATTTTGACGTCGAATTTTATCTAGTTAGCACAAAAAAAAATCATTAAGAAGAGCAAATGACCTTTTCAGACAATTTTTGCATGTAAAAACTAAATTTTTAGTCAGAAAGTATGTCTCAATGTCAAATAAAAATTCAATTTTGCATGCAAAAATTTCTCAAAATTTGTTATTTGCTCCTTCAATTAATTTTGTCTGCTCTGACATATTTTTGGAATCAGCAATAGCTTTTAAGTTATTTATCGAACAATGTATTAAATTTCTGAAATAATTCTGACTTTCAAATTTAAGCTAAATTGAAATACTTCATTGTAGTTATGCGTTTGCCTTTTTGATGGCTTTTTGTGTTTTTTGCTTTCAAGAAATTCTTCGAAAAAGCGCAATCATTTTGCGTCACTATTTCGTCAGTTCAAATGCAGTTTTAAAAATTCGATTGCAGTTTTTAATATCATTCAGTGTCTCAAAGTCAGAATTATTTCAAAAAAATAAGATGTTGTCTGATAAATTTGTTAGCAGCTATATATCTTTATAGCACGGCTGTTTAGTTTTTAAACCAAATAATCGGACAACTTTCTAAGAATTGGAAATAATTTTGATCTTGAGACAAAAGGGCATCGAAACTGTAGTCGAAAGATCAGAACTACATTTGAACTGTCAAAAGAGCAAGGCAAAATGATTCCGCTTCTTCAAAAACGTAAATTTTTGAATACTTTTAAGCCCATAACCTCAAAACAGCTTTCAATCAACAATGGTGCTATGTAATTTTTCAACAGAAAAAAAAACACAAAACGCAAACAAAAATTTCTCAGAGTAGGTTTTCTTAATAGTTATTAGCTTGAAGGTCAGAAATATTTATAACATTTAGGACGTAGTGTGATAAGTTTGTTAAACGTTATATCCGGTGCTGATTTAAACTATCCGGACGAAAAAAGAAGACCAGCAAATTGGAACGCTTTTTTCTCAAAAATTTTTACTGAAATCAAGACAAAAAAGAAGTGGAGAAAACAAGCTTAGAGCTTCTGGCAAAAAATATGGTGCAAAATTCAGGGCCAAAATTTTACACCAAAACTGAACAATTTTGACAGATTTTAGTCGGTCAAAAATTACGCAAAAAAAATTAAATCAATTGCTGACAAAACTTAAACAAATAAGTTGGTTATTAGTTAGATGGAGTGTGATTGGTTAGTCTTTAATAATTTATAGGGATAAAATATCTTATTTATAACCAATGATAATATATAGTTTGGATCAGGTTCCAATACGCAAATTTTATTCACAGCAATAACTAAAAATTCCAGACAATTTTCAAAGATCAACAGTGCAGAAAGTTCTTTCAAAATAGCCATTGGGGTGTTTTAAAAGAGCTTGATAAAATCAATTTACAGCAATTATTCACATTTCGAGTTTATGCCAGTTTATCGACTGAGAATGGTTAGTCAAAAAAATAGATTATCCGGAGGGTGAGACTTCTGACTGTTCTGGGCGTGATGAGCATTTTAAGGCTTTTCATCAATCATGTGCTCATTATTAACCAATTGCGCTACGTCAGTCATTTGTGGCGACGAGGTCGCTTGCGGCTGCTGAGTCTTGGGAACTCTGAGGAGACACCGAGTCAATTGGAGATCAACCGCGAGAGTGACTGACAGAACAAAGGATCCCCACATCAGTCCGGTGACCCAACCGACCTCGATTTTGGTCATCAGGCAATAGATCAGAAACCCGAGTTTGATGCCTGAAATGGCAGCAAAAATTATCATCCAAACTGTTCAACAATTTAAAGACCACTTTTTTTTTCAAAATTTGGCTTTTTAATAATTTCTCATATCCAAAGATAAAATAAAATTTCACAGAATCAATTAGAAACCGGAGTCTACCAACTTAACGCAGCACAAATAGCCTGTTCTTAAGACTTCTCTCGTTGTTTTTTTTAAAGAAAATCAGCTTCATTCTCTCTCAGGTTTCGAAACAGTAAAGTCTGAAACTGCTAGAACTGTATTTCAAAATTACAAACAAAACAGAAAATGTAACACAGAAAATCTAAATTGGCCCGCAGTGATTATTTTTAGAAAAAAATTCAAAACTGTTGTAGTTTGATATAGTAACAATTCGATTATGTAGTTTAAACAAGACTGCTCGTAACAGGGCGAAGCCCTGAATGTTCCGACTGCCTTTTGAGGTCTATGAAGCAGACTTCAATTTTCTTGCAAAAATTTCAGATTTTTTGTGAAAATCATCCCCCACACACCATATAAAGTACAAATTGATAAGTTTCGCTCCTATTAACTAAATAATTATGGCATATAAGCTTCCATGAAACAATTTGGAACGATTTCTAAAACGGTTTAAACCTCGCTTACGCGTTAAATGTGCAAAAAAAATTGCGCGTTAATTGTCCCAAATTGGCTAAAATGACAATCTTTAAACCCACATAACTTTACGAAAAATGATCACAGGTGAAATATCTTTTCAGTTTTAAGCTCAGGACAACAATACCTTTCGAATCATAAGATAAGTCCGTCAAAAATGGCTAATTACAAAGTCGAAAATTGTCTGAAGAAAAAAAAACCCACCACGAGCACTAACATTCCGTTGCTTTCGTTACCAAAGTCAAAACAATGAGCCATTTTAATGCATTTATTTTGCAAAAATTTTATCTGCATTATATTATCCTTACAAAACAATTCAAAACTGTTTGATCTATATCAAATTTTATGCATGCTAAACACAGATCGTGTACAGATTACATACAAAATAAAAACTGATTATTTGGTTACGTAGCAGTATTTAGACAACCGCGTATTCCAACTCGTCAGTATGTAGACAAAAACTCAATTAACCAATCAGAATCGAGATGAGGAAAAAATTAATGAATAATATTATTTATTTCGTACATTTGCTACCTCTTCTCAATTCTTATTGGTTAATATAGTACTTGTTTGCTTACTGATGAGTATAAATACGCGGTTATCTAAATACTTAAATCACTCAAGATTATCTACAAATTATCTACAAGTTATAAAATGATTAATTTAAGCTTGTATACAGACTATATACATATTAAATACAGATTACAAACAGATTTTCTCATACTCGCCAATCAGATCATTTGAGCATATTGAAAAAATATATATATAAGGTACGCTTTTCATTGAGCTTTATGTACTGAAATTTGATCTAATAAAAAACATAATTCAATATTGTAGAAATAATTTGCAGAAAAACTAATTGCTCTTTATTAATTTTTCTAATTTTTTGTTGATTTTTTTTACAAAATTGTGCTGAAAAATTTGATCTTTTAAATGACATTTGAAAAAATTTTGCACTAAATTATTTTTCTTACCGCGGGAAACATTAGGTTACAAAATCTTGGAGTGAACTCATAAAAATTGTAGTTTGCGGTAAATAGTTTTCCTCAAGTGAGTTCATCTCTCTATAACACTTGAGATGGAAAGTTCTTCTTGATAAAAATTTTTTGTTAAACTTGGGAAAAAATCATGAATTAAAGCTCTGATTAGTCAAAATTGAAACTGTTACGACTCCTATAGTTTTTGGGCAATATTAACAATTTTATACAGGTGTTATACAGATTATCTACTGACTATATACAGGTCTTATTAAATAGATTTTAATACTGACTATGAGCAGATTATCTACAGATTTTATACAGGTTTTATAGAGTGGAAAATCTGATTACTTTGACACTAAAGCTCATTTTTTTGATTGATCTGTGTAAAATCGATTATCGTTCGCAAAATGGTTGTAGATGAATCGATTCAATTCTAACGTTAAACTGTGGATTTATCTATACCTTATCGAGTTTATTGATTTTTGTCACTGCGGGGGGGGGGGGAGGTGAGGCGTGGGGGTAAACGATGACGCAGAAGAAAAGCAAGCTTGGCTCAAAACCCCTCCATCGTAAGATCTCAGGTAACTTTAAATTCCCGACAGTTTTCAAAAGTCAAAAGTGCAGAAAATGTTCTCAAAATAATCTGTGGGGTGTTTTACGAGAGCTCGATAAAATCTAATTGGCTTAGCTATTATTCACTAAAACTGAGTTTGTCTTGAAAATTTTGCCCTCGAGAAAATCCTAGATCCACCCATGATTGACGAAGAACCAGATTTCCTTGTAAAAAATGTCTGCTCACAATGACCACTTTTATAGCACAAAATCCACAAAAAAAAACAAAAGAAGTTTTTGCAAACGAATGGACGACCAACTCTTCGAGAAAAGGAATGAGAAAAAAGTATTTTTCTTCATTTTTCAATCCAATATTATTGCTAACGACTATCGTAAGGAGGAAGAGTACATCAGAAAGAGCCCGACTGTCTTTTCAAGCACTTGGACAGCTCGGCAAATAAAAAAAATTAGCTGAAAAATCTAGTTCCTTTAAATAAAAGCGTTTCATTACAAGGTATGTTATTTTTTTTTTCAAAGTACATTTTTAAGCTTATAAGGTGCACAACCTTTTTACATGGAATCTCAAAAATATGTTGCGAAACCCGTGAGCAAATGTCTGAATCCGTATCTTTGTTTGGTTTGTGATATGTTTTGTATCTAACCTTGTTAAACCGCGGATTCGGTGAATTTGCTTGTGCAATGTTTGGTCACCAAATCCGCAAAAACTGGCAAACTTTGGTCATGGTTTCCGTTGTGGCTTTTGTTTTGTTCAATATTTTAGTGGTTTCTATGTTTTCTAACTTTGATTATTAAATCCGCAGTCAACAGTAACTTCAAACAGTTTAGCTGCTGTTACGGATTCCGTGACAGCAAATTCGAGATCTAAAAATAGGAAATCTGCAAATTCTCAAATGACACAACTAGATCTCGTAACGTTCCATTTGTGCAAGTGTTTCCTGCAACTAAATTAATTGTAATATATATGCAAAGTACGACAATTTTTGAAACTTTATTGACCACGCGCGCAAATGTTTATACCAAATCGGTTTTTGGTCACATGTTTTATCAGAAAATGAAAGCTGTTGTGGATGAGCAAATTCTGTTGCAAAGAAATTATTTTGAAAATCGATTTGTTCAATCCTGGAGTTGATAGTTCAGCTGTGGTCAGGGGCGGATCTAGGATTTTCTTGAGGTGGGGGAAGGGGGAAGGGGCATGAATTTTCAAAAAAACTCGAAAATTTTGTCGAAATTTTTGAGCTCCCCTAAATCACTATATAGACCCCATTTTGACCAAATTTTTAAGGCCGCAGGCAGGGGCGGATTTAGGGGGGGGGGGGGCGGGGGGGGGGGGGGAGTGGACGCCCCTTCCCTCAGGGATTGGACCCCCTGCCGACCCAAAGGGTCCCCCCTTTGATACTTTTTCAGAAATCCATTTTTGCCAAACCGACCCTAAAATTTTTCTAATTGGCGCAGGCAAATTTTTGAAAAAAAAACAGACCAAAAAACGCGTTTTTAGGCACTTTTTGAAAAACTTTGACCAATAAATTTGCGTTTTTTCGGCGCGCACACCCTTCTCAAAATTAGTATGATTTTGGCGCCAAAGACGCTTTCAGAAAAAATTTAGGATTTTAGGGTCAGTCAAAATTGGATATCTCAAAATAGCACAAAGGGGGTCGGCAGGGGGTCCGCCCCCTCCCCATAAACCCACTGGTGGCTGTAGTCATCAAACTTTACATATCCTTCTACTTTTTAACTAGCCAGTTTTGACGGAATTTTATCTCATTCAAAAGTTTTTGTTGTCTTGAGCTCAAATTTGTAAAAATATATTTCATCTGTGATAATTTTTGTTTAGTTAAGGGAGTTTTAAGACTACCATTTTAGCCTATTTGGGACAATTAACGTGCGATATATTTTGCGCTATTAGCGAGTAAGCGGAGATGCAATTGGTTGAAGCAATTACTTGCTATTGATTTGTTACTAGGAGCGAAATCTATCACTTTGTACTGTAAATGATGTGTAGGGGAATGGTTTTCACAAAAAATCTGAATTTTTAATATAGATATTTATCAATTTTTAAAAACTTTTCTAATGCTATTACTGCTCCATAGACCTTAAAAGGCAGTCGGAACATTCAGGGCTTCGTCCTGATACGAAAAGTCTTGTTGTTCTGACTTCCGTAACGAAAGTAACGGAATATTTGTGCTCGGTTGACTTTTCAATTAGCCATTTTTGCCGGATTTTGATCTCATTCAAATGTTCTTGTTGTCTTGAGCTAAAATTTGAAAAACAAACATTTCACCTGTGATCACTTTTCGTTGAACTATGGGAATTTAACGATTGCCATTTTTGCCAATTTGGGACAATTAACGCGCGATTTTGTCGCGCTATCAACGCGTAAGCGGAGATTTAATCAGTCTTTAAAATCGATCCAAATTGGTTGAAGGAAGCTTATTTGCCATATTTGCTTTGTTACTAGGAGTGACATTTATCACTTTGTGTTTTATATGACGTGTGGGGTTATTTTTCATGTTATTATTGCTTCATAGATTTTCAAAGCTTCATCTTGATATGAGCAGTCTTAGTTTTTTGCTGCCACTGAAGATAACTAGACAAAAGGAGGTCTCGTTCTAATTGTTATGACTGCCAATTTACCTGCCAATTTTCCTTAAAGTAAAAATTGTTTTTATTGAAAAATTTGACAAAATTCAAAAAGCTTTTTCTTTTGTTTTGAAACAATACACAAAAATAGCATAAACAAAAAGTGTTGCTTCCAATAATGCCCATTCATTTTTGAAGGTTTTTTGAGCCAGAACAGTAGCATTCTCAGCAATTGG